TGCTAACTCTGTAAGATCGATATGGTCCTCATTTTACAGATAGGAAGCAGGCTTAGAAAGGTTTTAAGTAACTTGCAGAAGGTCACAGAGATTGCAGGTTGGAGAACCAGAACACACCCAGATCTGCCTGACTACAGGATCAAAATTTTTCACATCAACATGCTACCCTGTACTCTACCACTCTGTCTTTCTTCTACTTATTTTACTTCCTTCCTTATATCTCTTTCCACCTCACAGCACAAAATAGTGGCTGGGTTGTAGTGTTGGAAGGATCTTAAAGAAAGGATTAATCTGGCACTCTTTTATACTTCTCCTAAAGCTCTGGGTTATTTTCTACTTCCCACATATGGCCTGGGCATCAGGATCCCAGAAAACACTGCTCCCTATAGATTCATGTTAGATCTTTTTTTCTCTCCAATCTCCCCATGGCTTCAGCAACTACATTTAAAAAACTGCAAATAAAGGCATATAGCCTGAGACATTGTGTTTCCTTCAAGAGAACATTAGGAAAACATATTTGAAATTGAAACCAAAAAAAGTACTCCTGGTACCTAGAAGAGACAGAATCAGAATAGGGCTAGCTCAATATGGCTTGTTGATTGATTAATTGATGGTTGATCACACACAGAGAGTAATGAGCAAAGTTAGAGTAAATCCTTATCAGTGGAATTCAACAGGGTGGTCTTTCTGACAGGTCTTTTTGTTGTAGACTTAATGTAGGCTTCCTGAATCTTGTGGTTTGTTAATCTGCAAGTACTTGTTTAGACATAAGGCAATGGAATCTAAGATACAAGCTGTTAATTATGAGTTCTAATCCCAGGCTAGAAGATGCCTATAAAGATTAAAAGTTGCTTCCTTTTTTCTAACAATTAGTAGCCTAGCTAAAGAGAGATCAATTGTAATTGGGGAACTGAAGAAGGTAATAAATTCACTACCGAGACTAGTTGTTTTACAGAGCCATTTGTTTAATCCTTAAAATTTGCAGGTTGTAAATTACTCATTAAAATGCAGAAAGCAAAATAGCCATAATCCGTTTAGTGCCTCCAAACTCCAAAGACTTAGGAGAGGAAATCCATGGAACCAAGAGGTCGGATGTGCTCTTTCACTACAATTTCTTAATGGGAAAAGGTGGTTAAACAATAAGGAAAAGCCCATGTAATTATCCTGATGTGCTGGACCATAGGTCAGGGGTGGACTTGATTAAATCCATGGAGGGCTAACCCACAAATGGTGAGAAAATGCCCCTTCTTTTCCACTCAGCCCTGAAGGCAGCTAATCAATGTGCACATCTCATTTCCAGATTGTTTCATGAGAACAGAGCAACAGCCTATAGCATTCATTAGGGCATTCCCTCATCTGTTGTTTTCTAATTAGCACAGGTAATAAGACAAGAGGCCAAGTACCAGAGAGGACTTAGGAGAAAGCCAGGAGGAGGTTGTCCTCCTCTCCATACATAGGGAATGCAGTTCCCAACTACAAAATGTTCAACTGCAAAAACTACACAGTTAGTTTATAGGTCTCTTTACATGCATAGAAAGCCACATACATTTGGTTTGAATATGGATTTTACAAGCTTTATGTGAAAACACTTAATCATTTACTAAGAACAATGGGGTTTTTTGCATACCAAGGGTACAACTCAATTTAGGCTCCTAGTGGTAATGATGCAGGCAATATACAAGACGCCTATGATACCAGCACTGTGAATAAATTTTGAGAGCAGAATTTGAATCCGTGCATATTTTCTTTTTTCAACAATGTGATGCCTGTTATATATACAAAACACAGCTTCTATTAATAGTTCACTGTTGGGCTACATACAGCAAAATAGCTAAGGCTCCCTTCTGCACTGAGCAAGCATTTCTTTCATACCTCTTTCTTTTCTCCAAATGATCAACAGCGCACCGCCGAAATAAGATGGTAGGGTTAGGTTGTGAAATGGAGTTTTTCTCTTTGCAGGGATAACAAGACCACATGAAGATCCAATCTCTGATTTTGCGGCAGCAAAGTGAGTTACCAAACACAAACTGTTCCCATTCATTTTCTACTTGACAATCTAATTATGTTTGTGATTTCACCAGGCTGGCACTATGTCTATCTCTGTGTTCCATTCAATACCCACCAAGCTGTTGTTAATCAATAAACCATTACTAATAAGGAAAATCCAATTTAAAAATTACAGCTGGTCTGGAAATGCATTTATTTGTTTTGTTAAAGTAATTATAAAGCAAGTGTTTTTTAGATTGATCATTTAACCATGTCATGTAATAAAAATACTTTCTCCCCACATCTCACTTAAAAAAAAAAAAGCTACATGTATTTTACATTAGAAAGCTATATTGAGGAATCTTAAAGACCATAGCCATTAAAAATACTACCAAAGCATGTTAGAAAAATGTTGGAAGTCCTAACCATAGAAATCAGGCAAGAGAAATAAAAAACATCCAAACAGGAGGAGAAGAAATCAAACTATTTCTCTCCACAGATGATATGATTCTATACCTAGAAAACCCCACAGTCTCTGCCAAAAGGCTCCTAAATATAACAAATGACTTTGGCAAAGTTTCAGGATACAAAATCAATGCTAAAAAACTTAGTAGCATTTCTATACACCAACAATGTCCAATTAAAAGCTAAATCAATAACACAATCCCATTAACAACTCTAAAAAATAAAATACCTAGGAGTACAGCTAACCAGGAAGGTGAAAGATCTGTACAACGAGAATTACAAAACACTGATGAAAGAAATCAGAGATGATAAAAACAAATGGAAAAATATTCCATGCTCTTGGATAGGAAGAATCAATATTTTTTAAATGGTCATGCTGCCCAAAGCAATTTACATATTCAATACCATTCATATTAAAACACCAATGACATTTTTCACAGAATTAGAAAAAAAAAAACTATTCTACAATTCGTGGGGAACCAAAAACACCCCAATAGCCAAAGAAATTCCAAGCAAAAGTAACAAAGATGGAGGCATCAAACTACCCAACTTCAAACTATACTACAAGCCAAAGTAATTAAAACAGCATGGTACTGGTACAAAAATAGACACATAGACGAATAGGACAGGCAAGAGAACCCAGAAATAAAGCTGCACACCCACAACCATCTGATTTTTGACCAAGTTCACAATAATAGACAAGGGGAAAGGACTACCTAGGCAATAAATGGTGCTGGGATAACTGATTAGCCATATGCACAAGATTGAAACTGGATCCTTTCCTTTTATCATATGCAAAAATCAACTCAAAATGGAATAAATACTTAAATGTAAAACCTAAAGCTATAAAAACCCTAGAAGAAAACCTAGGAAATACCATTCTAGACACGGGCCCTGGCAAAGATTTCATGATGAGGACTCCAAAAGCAATTTCAACAAAAACAAAAATTGACACATGGAACCTCATTTAACTGAATAGCTTCTGCACAGCAAAAGAAACAATCAACAGTGTAAACAGACAACCTACAGAATGGGAGAAAATATTTGCAAACTATACATCTGACGAAAATATTTGCAAACTGAAATATCCAGCCTCTATAAGGAATTTAATTAACAAGCAAAAATCAAACAACTCCATTAAAAAATGGGCAAAGGACACGAAAAGACACTTCTCAAAAAAAGACATACATGTGCCCAACAAGCATATGAACAAATGCTCCATATAGCTAAACATTAGAGCAATGCAAATCAAAACCAGAATGAATACCATCTTACACCAGTTAGAATGATTATTATTAAAAAGTCAAAAAGTGGCCAGGTGTGGTGGCTCATGCCTGTAATCCCAGCAGTTTGGGAGGCCGAGGTGGGTGGATCACTTGAGGCCAGCCTGGTCAACACAGTGAAGTCCCATCTTTACCAAAAACACAAAAAATTAGCCATGTGTGGTAGTGCACACCTGTAATCCCAACTACTTGGGAGACTGAGGCACAAATTGCTTGAACCTAGGGGGTGGAGGTGGCAGTGAGCCAAGATCATGATCATGCCATTGCACTCCAGCCTGGGCAACACAGCAAGACTCTGTCTCAAAAAAAATAAAAGGTCAAAAAACAACAGATACTGGCGAGGTTGAGGAGGAAAGGGAATGTTTATACACTGCTGGAGGGAATATAAATTAGTTCAGCCATTGTGAAAAGCAGTTTGGAGATTTCCAAAGAACTTAGAACTATTAACCAGCTCAGTAATCCCATTACTGGGTATATACCCAAAGGAATATAAATTGTCCTACAATAAAGACATACACACTTGTATGTTCATCGTAGCATTTTTCACAGTAGCAAAGACATGGAGTTAATTTAGATGTCCATTAACAATGGATTGGATAATGCAAATGTGGGACGTATACACCATGGAATACCATGTAGCCATAAAAAAGAATGAAATTATGTCCTTTGCAGCAACATGGATGCAGCTGGAGACCATTATTGGAAGCAAATTAATGTGGAAACAGAAAGCCAAATATTGCATGTTTACTCATAAGCGGAAGCTAAACATTGAGTACACATGGACTCCAAGAAGGGAACCATTGACACTGGGGCCTACTTGAGAGTGGAGGGTGGGAGGAGTCTGAGGATCTAAAAACTACCTATTGAGTACTACACTCATTACCTGGGAGATGAAATAACCTGTACACCAAAGCCCCACAGCATGCAATTTACCCATTTAATAAATCTGCACATGTACCCCCTGGACCTAAAATAAAAATTGGAAGGAAAAAAGAATTAACTGAAGAAAAGAAAAGAAAAAATGGGTAGTTGACACTATTTCTCCTAAAAAAATTTAAAAAAAAGGAAAGGAAAAGGAAAACTGTTGAGACATTGTAAGATAAACTTTAAAAAGCTTACAATAAATTTGAAAATTATAACTTGGTGATTCTATGTTACTTGTCTCAGGAAAGAGCCCATTCTGGTCACTTTTGGTGGAAGCCAGAAATGATATATGGCCTTTCCCCTTTCCTGGGAATAAAGCACCTGACTCCTCTTCTGACTTACCCTGAGTGGATTTTCATTAAGGTAAGGGGGTTCACCTTCCACCATTTCAATTGCCATAATTCCCAGAGACCAGATATCAACTTTCGGACCATAAGCTTTTCGAGTCACCACCTCAGGTGCCATCCAGTATGGGGTTCCCACCATAGTGCTTCGTTTACTTTGCTCAGGAGTGATCTGGGCACAGAACCCAAAGTCAGCTGCAGAGAAGAAAAGCCAGTTAAAATAAGTCCAAATGATTTTCCTTTTACAATACATCACTTCCAGATATGGCTGTACCTTCCTTTGTTACACACAGAGCTTCCACAACTGCCTAGCTCATATTCTTTTGTTAACTGACCTCTCAGCTGGTTCTTATTTTAAGAAGGTCTGAAATAGTTAACTGATGTGATGTCATTTTTACTAGACTTCAGTCTAATTCCCTCTTCATCACTGTTTTGTCAAACTTATAGAATTTTTCAGTTTCCTAACTAGGTATTTGTCATTCATTCATTCTAGAAGTCACTAGAAATTCTGAAATATTAAATCCAAAAAGTGTAGTCACAATATTCAGGAATACAGTGTTAGAAAAATTATTTACTTCAAACTGGGCTGTAACTGCTTTCAAATAAATCACCTTCAGTGACCATTATCTTCTTAAGATATACAATAAAAGAATAGAAATTCCCTGATACTCTAACACCATCTGAACCAAAATACCTACTCAATTTAACAGAGCCATCCATCCCGAGAAGAATATTGTCACTCTTTATATCTCTATGGATCACCTGGTTTGAGTGCAAGAAATCCAAAGCTTGCAGGCACTATTAAATCAGAAAAAAAAGTTCTAATTATATCACAAATAATTTTTAATACTAAGTTTTATTTCTAGATAAGTTTTGGGTAGGGGTATAACTTATATTGTCAAGTGAAATTGATCACTGAATGCTTTAACAACACCACTTTGAAGTCACATTACCATTTACATCAATTATGCCACTTAGCATTATACATGCTAAATATAATGGCTGCCATGTCAGACTAGGACATGAAGAGTGATAATGTGATAAACAGCAACAATTGTTAATACAGCCAAACTAACCAATTAATATACTTTGGCCTGGTAATCTGGAGGATTCAGCTTTGTCTTATATAACTATGGTAAGCTTCATTGTATACGGTATGACTTGATTCAGAAGTTCTGGAGTGAAACCCAGGAATCTGCACTTAAACAAGTGCCCCATACTATTTCTAACAGGTAGCCAGGTTTGGGAACCACTCCTAGGCTATGAAGTAACTATAGGCACTTGTTTGGAAATGGCTTTGCAGTGTAATACTGGAAGATGGAAACCACAGGCTCAGGATAGGAAGTTCGATTTATTGCACGAATAGAAAGCATATATGTTTGGTGGATATGTGGGGTGGGGGAAATGATAATGAGAGGAGAGCAAGGAAGGAGGAAGTTTAAGTGAATTATATATATATATATATATATGGCAAAGATTAGCTGATATCACTTAGTTTTGTTTCCCTATCATTGGTTTTCAAGTTTCAGTGAGTCAGAGTTCCTACTTTTGTTGATAGAAAACCTCACTACAATAAATGGGGTAGATTATAATGCCTAAGATGAGACTCCAATGAGGAGTGTGTGTGTTAATATTCAACAAAATAAATATAATAACGTATCTTTAATTTAGTTTGAAACCCCTCAGGGGTATGACACTTACTGGAAAAGAGACAGATCCTCAGGCCCACTGCGGGGCTATAAGGGATGTGTAGACTGTACTGTGAAAGCCACTGCTTTCTGGGCTGAGGGCGGACCCTGTTTAAACTGCCTTCTAAAAGATGATGAAAATATAATGTATTTTGCGTGGCTCATATTACACATGCAGAATAAAATAAGTATCATGTAAAAACTTCCCCAAATTAGAAAGAAGTGCTAAGCCAATATCACTGTTTCCCATGTTCACGGAAACTACAGCATGTGGGCTTAGATATGACACTTTGCAAATGGCATAATGGAACTACAAATATCCACAAAAAGCAGCTAAAATAAACAAGGGGCTCAAGAGGGTGATGCTGGGGAGTGCTATTAGGAACAGGATTTAAATTGAAGTTGGCCTCTCCAATTGTTTTCAGTGGAAAAATTCTACTATTTTTACTTTGATGATATAAACATTCTGAATAATCAGAAATGAAGAACTGCCAATTTTGGCATTCTAATCAGCTAGAAATGCTCTATTTGCTTACCTCTCTGCAGACAGCTGCTATCTGTCCTTCATCCATACAGGTCTCTGTGACCACGTCAGTCAGAGAGCCACCAGCCAAGTATTCCATGACTACCCATAGTTCATCACCCACTAAGTAGCTATAAGAAGAAAAGAAAAGACTTTGACTTATGACACTAAGAAACTGTGGACTCTAATATTCCCGTGCCTCAGTTCTGACAGAAGTTAATCGTAAGTTGTGCCATGCCCGTTACGTTTGGGAAGGTACTGAGGGACATGCCCCAATCAAATATGGGGACAAGGGTCATCAGAGCCCTATAATTCAGGCAGAGAGCATGAGGTTATTCAAATCACCTGACATCATCTGAATGCACTTTAGCAGTATAATCAGGTCTCTGAAACCCTACTTAGCAAGAAAGATGAATTATAGGAAATGGAATGACCCCAATGTTCCCACCCTGCCCTAAGACCCATATCAATGTGAAGCAAGATTTTCTATCCAGTGGTGTTCAAAGTTTGGTGTCCATAAAATTCACCTGGGAAGCCTGTTAAAAATAAAAATTCACAGTCCTCATCTTATTATTTAACCTAATGTAGATGACGGGGGATGGGTGCAGCAAACCACCATGGCATGTGTATACCTATGTAACAATCCTGTACGATCTGCACATGTACCTCTGAACCTAAAGTATAGCAAAAAAAAAATAATAAAATTTAAAAAAATTCTGCATTTTTCGCAAGTGCAAATGCAATTTTTTTGTGTGCAAAATTACAAACACAGAATGACTTTAGGTTACTCTGCTGCAGATGGTTCCTAAATTACACTTTATGAGACACTGATCAAAACTGTAAAATTTGTGGCTGGGTGCAGTGGCTCATGCCTGTAATCCCAACACTTTGAGAGGCCAAGGAGGGTGGATCACCTGAGGCCAGGAGTTTGAGACCAGCCTGGCCAACATGGTGAAACCCTGTCTCTACTAAAAATACAAAAAATTAGCTGGGCATGGTGGTGCATTTCTGTAATCCCAGCTACTTGGGAGGTTAAGGAAGGAGAATTGCTTGAACCCAGAGGGCAGAAGTTGCAGTGAGATGAGATCGTGCCACTGCACTCCAGCCTGGGCAACAGCAAGACTTGTCTACCTGGCCCAAAACACAGAAAATGGTATCTTAAACTTATTGAAATTGAAGGCCTAGATTTCGTTTCTTTGTATCCCCTCCAGAGAACATAGCACAGTGGTACTAAACAAACTCTTTTTGAAATTGAATGAGACAGATGTTAACCACAAGTGAAGGGTTAGTGCTGTCCTTAAATACCTATTTATAACACACTGTTAATACCAATGATGAAAGAGATATTAATTACCTGGTTTAGGAAAAAGGGTTGAGATTAAAATCTGAATTACCTAGACCTCACTGTCAGTTAATCACAAAGCACCCATTAAAGCCATTGTGGAGGGCCATTGTAGCCAGCCTTCTTCACTTAGACTCCCAGAAACTGTACTGGCTCCAAACACTTGATATAATGTTTAAAACACCACTGCTCCCTCCTATATGCAGTAGTGTATTTTCTGCCAAAATGGAGCTATGATTCTCAACATGAAGTTACAGAAACTTCCTATGTTTGCAACCAAGATCATAAAATGTTTCTTCAAGTGTCTGATATGTGGACAGAGATAAATGAGAACAAGTTTAGTAATAGATCTAATACTCTACAGTACTGTAGCATTTGAGAAATATTTGCAGAATGATTGTTAAATGAACGAATCCCAAATAATTTTCCCAAAAAAAACGACATCCCACAAAGAATACAAGTACACAATGAGACAAAACACTTACCTATCTAAATAATTAACAATATTAGGGTTCTTATTTTCCCTCATGACCAGAATTTCATTAATAATTAATTCCTTTTTGGGTTGCTGTTGAAGGTTCATCTGCTTTATGGCCACCTGAATGGCAGTTAAAATACAAGAATAAATTATAGCCATTACAATAAACATGAATAGTCATATTTTTGGGGACACAAAGTGAAACATACACATTCTTTATCTACTAAGCTCTTTCTCTGTGCCACAAACTCACACCTGCCTTTTTTTGGTCAATCATGGGTAAACCACTCACTTCAGAGGCTCTGGGCACCAATGAAGTAAACTCCTATCTAAACCCAGTGCTACACATTTTTTTTTTTTTTTTTTAGGCAAAGTTACCATCAAAGAAGATACTGGATAAATATGAACAAAAGAAAATAAAAATCAGGATTGAACGTTAGCACTTACCTCTTGTCCTGTTGCAATGTCTAGTGCTGTATAAACAGTACCTGATGCCCTGTGAAGGTGAATATTATCAAATGAATAAGCAATCAAGCTGTTACCAATATATTTTACTTTATTTTACTTGAAATAAAGTGTAATTATTTTCAGGGGATGAAAATTAGCAAGCTCAAAATGTGAAGTAAAAAAAGGAACATCTTTAAAAAAATTATTATTGTGATAAAAAATAACACTTCACAGGAGATCTACCCTCTTAACAAATTTTTAAGTGTATAATATTGGAACAATCTTTTTATACAGTGGATGGACCTGAAACAATCACAATGTATCCCTTGTAGTGGGCTAAGAACTCCAGTCAGACTTTCTGGCACCAGTCTGAGTGCCATGCACTATGCAGTAATAAATTGAACAAAATGGCCTTGCTTCTTTTAGGAAACTCCTGGAATCCCCTGAATATTTCTTGAATCTTGTAATAGCCAACATTGCAGGCCTCTGATTAAACTGAAGAATAGTTTAGAAAAGAATATATCATCTTTTGCTCAGGCAAGTATAAACTAACCTTCACTTTTAATATAGAAATAGAATGGCTCTTTTCATATATTTCCAATTTTTAAGATTATCTTCATTTAAAAATCAATCTCTCTGTGCTGTACTGTACTACAGCTACACGAAGCAATAGCAACATGACTTTACTATTAAGCCCTTGTTTTCTTATTTTTACTAAATTTCTCAACAACTTCTACTATGAAGTGTCACTCCAACCCAATATTCTTTTAAAATATATCATTTCTGGGTCTGGTGCAATAGCTTACTCCTGTAACCCCAAAACTTTGTGAGGCTGAGGCGGGAGGGTTGCTTGAGCCCAGGACTCTGAGACCAGACTGGGCACCATAGTGAGATCCAGTCTCTATGAAAAACTTAAAAATTAGCCAGGTGTGCTGGCACATGCCTATAGTCCCTGCTACTCAGGAGGCTGAGATAGGAGGATCACTTGAGCCCAGGAGATCGAGGTTGCAGTGAGCTGTGATTGTACCAGCAGTGGTATTTGGGTGATACGGCCAGACCATGTCTCAAAAAAATTAATAATCTATTATTCTTTACATCTTAGTAGTACTCTTGCTTCCATTCTAACTTCAGTTATGGAGTTCCCTTGCTTTGCAAATAGAAATTGTATAGTAAGCTGAATTCACAGTAACTTTCTATGAATCACAAATGTGTTCTAAACCACCTCCCACCACCATCATCAAGAAAAAGAAAAAATAGTCACTTTTGCTTTTAGTGAATAAAGGAGTTAGAATAGAGATCAGTCCTGTGATGACTATGCGTTGCAATGCTCCAGCATTGGTATGTAAACTTTCTGATAATTATTTCTCTCTTGTTCTCTATTTCACCCTTGCTGTTTTGTTTTCTGAGTCCAGGAATTATTTTCTTATGTCAGGTACTTCCTTGTAATTCTTTTCCCTTCTCTTTGGATTAGCCCAAATATTTCTCACAGGTCCAGGAAGTGTATATTACCTGGCTCTCAGGTAGTAAACTCGGTGTGTAGTATAAGGCATATCTGACTATTAACGGAGATCTGAGTTCTAATATTTGCCCTAACATCATCGAGATATGTCACATTGGGCTAGCCACTTCCTTTCACTGAATTTCAGTCCCTTCACATGGAAAACAGGTATCACAATAACAGTAGACATGTACTGAGCATGTTGTATATGTTAGACACTATACTAAGAACTTTAGATAATTTATCTTATGTAATCCTTACCATATTTTTATAAGGCAGATTGTATTATTCCCATGTTATATATGATGAACTGAGGCTCAGAGAGGTTGAGTTACCTGCCCAAGTTTACACAGTTAACAACCCAAGTCTGTCTGACTCTCTTACCTCTAAAGTACAGGAAATGAGCTGCTTTATTTCTAACATTCTTTAATTCTATACTACCCTCCTCCAGAGTGCTGCTTGGGTTTCTAAATATCGATTGGAATTAGGCTGAAAAATCACACTTAATCAATAGGTGCCACCTAAACCAGGATTTGGTAATTCCAGAAATTTCTTAGGCTCGAGGCTTATATCAAACAAATCATTTCTTCATTTCTGCAAGTTTGAGATTCTGGGCTCAGAGCTCATAGTTAGTACCCAATAAATATTTGTTGAATGAAAAAATTAATAAAAATCATTTAAAGCAAACATGCAATGGCAATATGACCTTTCCTTTCTGTGAAGAAAACATTTCTTCTACTTTAATCTACATAAAGCACTTTGCTCTTGGAATAAGCAAACAGGCATTCCTGACTTCAGAGCCCAATATATGATTTGCCCTTCTGAACTTATTTGAGTTCAAATAGATTACCTCGACTTGGTGTATATTTCAGCTGCTATTAGTCCTGAAAAACTACTTAAATCTAATTGTAAAATATGATTTTAAAATGCCTTTTGACATACAGACAGCTAGCAAATACATGAAAAATGCTCCACATCAATAATTGCACAGAAATGCAAATCAAAACCACAAAGTGACACCATCTCTCACCAGTCAGAATGACAATTATTAAAGAGTCAAAAAACAACAGATGTTGGCAAGCCTGCTGAGAAAAGAGAACACTTACACATTGCTGGAGGGAATGTAAATTAGGTTGGCCACTGTGGAAACCAGTTTGGAGAGTTCTCAAAGAACTTAAAATGGAACTACCATTTTGACCCAGCAATCCTATTACTGGGTATATATCCAAAAGAAAATAAATCACTTTATCAAAAAGACACATACACTTGCATGTTCATTGCAGCACTATTCACAATAGCAAAGACATGGAATCAACCTATGAGCCAATCAATGGTGGATTGGATAAAGAAAAATGTGATACATGTACACCATGGAATATTATGCAACCATAAAAAGCATGAGATCATGTCCTTTGCAGTAACATGGATGAAGCTGGAGGCCATTATTCTAAGTGAACTAAAGTGGGAATAGAAAACCAAATACCACATGTTCTCATCTAAGTGGGAGCTAAAATTGGGTACTCATGGACATAAAGATGGCAACAATAGACATTGGAGACTACTAGAGGGAGAGGGATAGAGGAGGGTAAGGGTTGAACAACTAACTACTAGGTACTATGCTCACTCCTGGATGATGGATTCATTCATACCCCAAACTTCAGCATTATGCAATATACCCAGGTAACATACCTGCACATGTACTCCTTAAATCTAAAATAAAATTTAAATAAATAAAATGACTGTTTAGTTTATTCTCATGTATTTAGGCCATGTGCACAATTCTTTTAGATACAAAAGAGTAAGACTACCTGCAAAATGAGATAATAGTACCTATTTCACAGGGCAGTGGAGAATTGCATGGCACAATCTATGTAATCATTTATCCCTGTGTCAGATTAGAGTTGATGCCTATGTGTTAACTGCTGTTATCATCATTTGTTGTTGATGCTGTTGTTATTGGTTTCACAGTAGGGGATGACTGATACACTAAACGATTAGTTGGCCCCTCCCAACCTCCCAGCCAAAGCATCTTCGCTAATATCTGCCCCTATTTCCAAAAAGGACAGAAGCTGAGGTAAACTACTGGAAGGCTTTTTAGAAGTTCCACATCTTTTCTTTCCCCCTAGGGAAGTAGTTTTACCCTTTTCTTTGAAAGTTGGAATTCCTTTATCAAATGGAACTGTATTAAAAACCCTCAACATATTAAACAAATAAATTGGGAGCTGCCCTAGTTAAAGCTAGGGAAGGAGACCCAAAATGCCTGCCCAGGTGGCCTTTCCGTTATTCAACACCCCTGTCCCCCTAACCCCCAACCCCGTTTCCACTGTCCTAAGGGCTAAAATTGTGATTGACTTGGAATACAAGGGGGGTTTATGTTTAACATTTACAGAGCTTTACCTTTCAAATTCTTGGGTTTTTGGTCCTCCAGCACCCTCAGCATTTCTTTGTATTAAAATTGCTAGAGTTCTAGCCCTGAAATCTCAATATCCTGGGATTTATGGCATACAGTGGTACAAAATTGCTATAAATTCCTAATCCACAGAGGTTTAAAGATCCTGAAACTCTAGAGCACCAGCTGCCTACTAAAAATGAGCCTTTCTCCTCCCCTGCCCTCTTCCCTTACTGCATATATCAATTGTATAATGTGTATATATATAAATTTCCCTACCCTGTACCCTGGTTCTCTTGTCATAAAATGGTAATATCCTCTCCTACCCTACTTACAAATCCCCTCAAACCAAACATGTTGTTAGATGGTTGAAACTCCCTGTTCTGACCAATATTGATTTGTGCAACTTCTAGCCTTTGCACAATCTTCAACTCAAATGCACAAATTCAGGTACTAACCTGCAAATTAAAATTTAGTACCTTATCCCCAGCTATATCTTAGCAACCTCAACATTTTTCTGCACCCCAGTTCTGCTGCTTTCCTATAGTCTAACAATTTAAAATTCAACAGATATAAATATGATTCTCTTCTTCAAGAGATCTCAACTTCCTTTAAGAGTCATCTATTAAAGCTCTCTCATTGTTCACTGCTGGGTTCAGAACAGTAGTCCTCACTCATATTCACTAAAACCTCCCCTGGTTTAAGTCCTACTAGTTCCTAGTTGTCAAACTGTGGTTAAGGAATTTAATTTCTTTGTGATTTAGTATTAAAGGAAGATTAACTGTATATAGTTCTGGAATATAGTGGTTTCCCAATAAATATTAGCAATAATGATAATTATTATTTGGTTATTTCCTAATATGTTCATTAAGTTCTCAAATTCTAGTGTGTGAATCACAAGGAAGCTCTGTAAGTGGGAGTTTTCAAAATATTTGATGTTTCAAAATTCCCAACAAAAAAATTGACAATTACCTGAGAACAGCTAATTCAAGTATCACATATACTTCCTTTTAGCTAGAATTATATCAGCTTGTAATTATGTTGAATATCAAATGATGATTAAAAGCTTCAATTAGCAGTTATATGTGTTTTTTGCTTAATAAAGTACAATAAACTATTAATAAATACAGTTAGACAATCAAAATTATAAACCTGAAGTTTA